TACTCGGGGCTGAGGCAGTAGGATCGCTGAGCCCCGGAGATTGAGGTTGCTGTGAGCCAGGCTGACGCCATGGCATCCACTCTAGCTGGGCAACAAAGTGAGACTCTGTCCTCAAAAAAAAAAAAAAAAGAGAAAGGGGTTGGTTAACCCTACAGATCAGTTAAGTAGAGGTCAAACAAAGAGCTTGTACTGATTTTTTTTCACTTCTATTTCTTCATTAATCATGAAGTTGAGCACCTTTTGATTTATTTTTTGACCTTGTATTTCATCAGTTAATTGTCATTTTTTTATCATTGTGTTATTTTTCTACTAAGATGTGTGTCTAATTCTTAATGATTTATAGGATTTTTTTACCTATTATGCATATTAATCCATTGTTAAGTGTGTGCAATATTTTCACCTGCTTTATTTTTGCTGTTGTTCTTTAACTTTGCTTATGTGTCTTTCATCTTGAAGGATTTAAATTCTTACAGAGTCAAATTTGTCAATATTTTTCTTCATGGCATCTGTATTGGAAGTGTTGCTTGAAAGACCTACCCCCTCATCTAGATTGCTTTTGGTTTCAAAAGTTATATAATTACTGAGTATTTTTCCCTGATCCTCTCCCATGTTTGTTCCCTGGAAGAATAAGTAAGGATTTTTAAAAGATATTTGCTAATAATGAACCTTCTTTTTGTACATATAGGTGAAGTAACTGGGCTAAAAATTGGACCTTTAGAGCTAATGAGATAAAAGTTTAAATCTTATTTTTATTCCCAGTTTTCAAACTTGGTGTTATTATGTGCACTTTCCATTTTGTAATATGGAATTACTTGAATCTTTCTTTTGTTACCCGAGTGGGCTAGATTTCCACTACATCTTAAATTACTAATTTGATTACAAATATCATTTGCTTATACATAGAAATGAAGCTGTGCTTGCCGACTTTTATTCAGAGATAAAGTTAGACAAAGAACTGTTTTTGAGATAATGAAACATGAAAATTATAATACACGCTAAAGACAGTATATGCTCATAGACAATATAAGAATTAATTGTAACCCAAGAACATTCACAAAATTCCACTATATTAAAGCTGGTTTTTATTCGTGAATTACAGTTTGATATAACATATGAAAGACAATTATAATTACACATGAAGATCGAAACTGTTAAATCATAAAGCCAGTGGCAAATTTTCATTCTCATTTTATTTGATAGAATCTTAGTGTTGAACTGTTGATCCCTCTATTTTTTAACACTTTCTTCTCTTTGTCCCACAGTTCCTGGTCTTTGTCCATCTCTACGGCTCCTCCAAGTTTTCTCTGTGAACAATTTATCCTCTGTCCCCCCCACTTTTTTTTTAACGTTTTCATTCATTAGAGAATTAGGTAAACATCAGTTATAAAGCCAAGGCCAAAATAATTTTTGCATTAAAATGTGTTTCAGGAGAATCAGTCCAACAATTTAACTGGGTTAACGTCATGCAGATGATGTGTTCTTCCAATAACTTCACTTAGGAAGACTACATTCTCCAACATGTCAAAAGATGATAATACGATTTCTTCTGCCTGTCCACATGAGGAAGAAATTTTCTTCTCGATGGCCAACATTATTTCTTTTTGCTGCTCTTTTCCCTTCTCCTTTCTTGGTTTCCCCTTTCCACGAACCTCCTTTAGATGAGTTTTGCCTCATCCCTAAAATCCTGAGCTCCATCTCTATAGAGCCAAGAAATCTGAGCATTCCCAGAGTGCCAAAATAGCGTTGTGATTTGGATAACAGTCGTAAGTCCTCCCTTCCTCTTGCCAAGGCCGTTCACTAACAGTTTCACCAAACTTTCCAAGGACTTGGAATCATAGACTGGCAACTTCACAAATAGCCGGGCACTCAGACGAGACATGCACAAGACATATTCTGAAAGTGAAGACATTTCCCTGAACAGCAAGGAGAAAGAGTCCTGGACCTGACCTTCTGCACCTCACCCTGACCTTCTGCACCTTCTGCACACGCCTCGTGCCCTCTACCTGTCCTTAAACTTCAATTCCTGGACCGCTTTCTCCAGGACTTTTCTTATGTGGATACTGTCTCCTGACCTGCCTCATCTACTCCCTGGTTTGCTTTATTGATCCAGATATGATGACTCACAATCTCCAGCCCACACCTCCCCCCGGGCTTCCAACCACATGCCCGTCAATTTCCTGGAATGTTCCACTGAGCTTAACATCAGCTATCGAAAAACAAACACATTGTCTTCTTTTTCTTACTCTCCAACCTTTCTTCTAAGCTTGTCTTCCTGGCTGAGTTGGGAGGCAGGACCTGGTGGTTGAGCACAGACTCAAATATCACTTGGAGCTGAGTTGAATCTGAGCACACTTCTATTACATGAGTGCCCTTGGCAAGATATTTTACCTCTCTCATGCCCGCTTCTTTGCCTATAAAGTGGAAATGGTAGTCTACTGCAAATAGTTTAGTAATGCAAATCAGATAATTGGTACACCGCCTGCCCCAAGGTATATAACTCAGAGCGTATTATTCCTCTGTCAGCAAATGGTAAGTTCCCCAAGTAGTTTGATGGCAAAACTCGAAACAGTCTTTGAACTTTCTTTTTTGCTTATCTCTCATATTCACTCAGTCTTAAGTCCTATTAATGCTATTCTAAAAGTATCTTTGCATATTACCCCATATCTTCCCCTTGTACTCAGTGCCCTATCTGGGTCCTAGTCCACCTTCCATCTGTTACTACCGCTGTCCCCTGATTAATATCCCTGACTCCACTCTTATCAATTCCTAATACAGCCAGGAAGAACTTTTCAATTACTGCCTCTCTTGCCTGCAGGATAAAAGACAAGTTCCTTTAATTTGGGTCTTAAGACCCTTCTAAAATGGTCCTCATTTCTGAGTCTGCTTCGTTCTCGTCACCCAAAGTAAATGAGTGCATAAATAGAATGTTTGCAGAATCTCATTATAAAACTCATTCAAACTGGTGTGGATGTGGTCCCAGCTACTCAGGAGGCTAAAGGCAGAGAATCGACTTTGATCCTAGGAGTTTGAATCCAGCCTGGGCAACATCGCAAGACCCCATTCTAAAAAACAACTAAGTTCATTAGTAAGAATTTGAGAAATAGAGAACAAAAAGAAAATGTGGCACTAATTCCATGATCCCTTGCAGCATTTTGGTGTGTTTCTCTAATTTTATTTTTTTAAAAGAAACGGGGGTTTTTGCTCTGATTGCCCCAAACTGGAAGTTCAGTGGTGGCAGTCACATAGCTACACTGCAGCCTTGAACTCCTGGTCCGGTGATCCTCCTGCTCAACCTTCTTGTAAGCTGGGACTACAGGTGCATGCCATGTACCAGCTATTTTCTTTTATTTTTAGCAGCATGGGGTCTCACTGTGTGCCCAGGCTGGTCGTTGAACCCTGGTCTCAAGCAAGCAACCCTCCACCTCAGCCTCCAAAGTGCTTGGGATTATAGTTGTAAAGCCATCACTTGGCATTTCTTTAATGTTTTTTTTTCTATTGTTGTTTTTGTTTGTTTTTTGTTTTTTTGAGACGGAGTCTCTGTGCCTGGGCTACGAGTGCAGTGGTGTTAGCTAGTTCACAGAACCTTCAAACTCCTAAGTTCAAACTATCTCTTGCCTCAGCTCTCCAAGTAGCTGGGACTACAGACATGCCACCACCATGCCCGGCTAATTTTTTTCTTACTTTTTATTTGCCTGGCTAATTTCCTTGATATTTTTTTTTAATAGAGACAGGGTCTGGCCTCTTGCTCAGGCTTGTCTCTGAACCTTTTGAGACTCAAGCATCCTCCTGCCCCAGCCTCCCACCCAGAGTGCTAGGGATTAAGGTGATGAGCCACTGTGCGCTGCCTGTTCTCTATTTTTTAATCATCATACATTGACATATGTGGCCAATCAGAATGAATATTCAGGTTGTGGGGATTTTTTTGTTTGCATTTTAAAAGGCATGAGAAATATAGGCTTGTTTTATAAAATAATAGAAATGACAGGTCCTATTCATGATCAGACCTTTACTACTTCTCCCAAATCCCCTACCTCATTCTCTTTATGGCTCGTGTTATGAGTAGAAATGCATGATATTTCATATCCACTATTAAAAAAAAAATATTGCAAAATTACATTATTTACTTAAACTAAGATGCATAATTTACATAAATCTATTTAAATACTCAAAGCAATTGATTATAAAAATAGCCTCATTTATGATTTTTTTTTTGAGGCAAATTCTCACTCTGTTGCCCAGGCTAGAGTGCCGTGGCGTCAGCCTAGCTCACAGCAACCGCAAACTCGTGGGCTCAAGTGATCCTCCTACCTCAGCCACCTGAGTAGCTGGGACTACAGGCATGTGCCATCATGCTCGGCTAATTTTTTCTATATGTTTTTAGCTGTCCAGCTAATTTCTTTCTATTTTTTTAATACAGATGGGGTCTTGCTCTTGCTCAGGTTGGTCTCGAGCTCCTGAGCTCAAATAATCCGCCTGTCTCATCTATGATTAGTTTGCATTGCTACTGAGGTTGCCATGGTAAATGAATTTTTATTTCTAGTATTGATGAAGGTGATTTCTATAATATTTATTTTATATTGACTATAAAGTTTTGTCCTAGAAAAAAAACTTATGTATTAAATAACTTGGGGTTCTCCCAAGAAAGTGGGGTTCTCCCACTTTGCTTACTCCCCAGATTCCCAGCTCTCTCTTTATTGTGCTCCAGGCTTTTATCACTTAACTCTCGCCACTTAGCTGGCACCTTTATCACTTAATTTTCCCCTTCAATTATTTCATAGGTTTCAGTCTTCCCAAATTTATTGTATGTTTCTTGATGACAACTACTGCCTTATAGCAGGGGTATATTCTACACCATGAGTCTCAGTTGTGTCACACATAGTTGTTGACTGAGAAGAGTTATAATTAGCACGGTGAACTTCATCTGTTCTTATTATGTTGAATGTCCTGATGCCACATCAGAATTAATAGATATCTGAAATGTGCATCTACGTCTTCCCTAGGTGAATCAGCTTCGTGGCATCCCCAAGCTTCTGCAGCTCCTAAAAGTCCAGAATGAAGATGTTCAGCGGTCTGTGTGTGGGGCCTTGAGAAATTTGGTGTTTGAAGACAATGACAACAAGTTGGAGGTGGCTGAACTAAATGGGGTCCCTCGGCTGCTCCAGGTGCTGAAGCAAACCAGAGACTTGGAGACTAAGAAACAAATAACAGGTAGTGCATACAGAACGTCAGAGGGCGTACCCTGGTGCACCCCAGCCAGATGTTATGTCATCTGCTCTTCTTAAGTTTCCTGGGACGAATGATTGATGGGCTCATTGTTAACCAAGAGATGGTCTTAAAAGAACATTGTTATCTGCTGCTGCTAGACCCCAGATTTGAGCCATGTTTGATTCCTTTTTCAAACAGGAGAATATTCTGAGGGCTTTGGTTAATATTTTTTAACAAGAAACT